TATATATATATATATATATTCTTCACACATATATTATTAAACAATTAAAATGCTATTATATAAATTAATAATAAAAAATAGGATTTCCATGTTTTTAGCTTAGTTATTATAAATGATCCTTAATTTATTAAAACAAAATGTGGTAAATGGCACAAGGTGCTCCACAACAACAAAACTTAGAGGGAGCATTGCTGCTGAACATTCTCTCCCTCTGTCACATATTTGCTCATCCTTTCTTTCCTTTCCACAGGTAGCTCATCAGGACTAGCTAATGCCAACTTTGCAGACTTCGAAAACTTCCCCAAATCTTGCGGTGCTGATTTCGCCTCATTTAGCTCCACCCAGAGTAACTCAGTGGGAGAGGGGCATAAAGTGGAAGCAGTCAGCGTCTCTGCAGACCGATACGCAGCCCTCGCCGACCTCGACAACATGTTCGGCAGCAAACCTGAGCAAGGTACATCCAGGAATGAAATGACAGTTTTTGAACATTGACTCATTTTTCTGTCCATTTTTCAGTCAAATGCTATGTGAAGCTACAAAGCACAAGAAATCTTTTCAAAATCGTATTTATTAATACAATAAAAACTGGGGGTACATGTGCACAAAAAATGGCTAAAAATAACCACTTTCTGTCTCTCTCCACAGGAACGAGTTCAGCCCCTCCGTCAGCAGGTGTGGGTCCTCCACCTCCACAGGCAGCTCTGTTGGGCGGCAATCGCTACGCTGCTCTAGCTGTACTAGACAATGTCTTTAGCTCCTCAGCGCCAAACGTGAGCGGCTACAACACTGCCACCACCGCACAAGGGTGAGACTAGAAAGATACATGGCCCTTTACTTCTCAATGTCTTTTTCTCTGGCGTGTTAAGCTCTCTTTCCACTCTCGCATTCAGGTCTATGTTTGGATCCTCTACGGCTGCTCCTCCAGTTCAAGCACAACAGGGTTTACCCAGCATGCCTCAGGGTTTTGGAGGTAAGCATCTTTGAGATCTATTTGAGATATCCATTCAGTAAATCTCTTACATCTCTCATGTGTTTTTTAACAGGGCCTTCGACGAATCCATTCGTTGCTCCCGGGGCTCCGCAGGCCCCTCCCACTAACCCGTTTCAGACCAATGGAAGAGCAGCAGTACCAGGAGTGGGTGTGGCCACAGCAGGTATGGGCAGGGCTTAGGTCTACCTGCTAAATCTTAGTTTAATTGAGTCGCAGAGAATCTTCTCAGAATTCACAGCGGGCTTTGTCCTCGGTTTTAAACGAGTTTAAGCAGCTCTTGTTTTGTGTCTCATTTATTTAACACACCAGAGGGCTTTGTGAAGAGTTTTAAGTGGGTCAGGTACCCCCGGTATCCATGCTAGGAGCTAACAGCTTGAGATCACTTTTACACACGCAAGATACAAAGGCACCGCAGAAGAGCTGCAGAGATTTTTGGGTCTCTACATCCCTGCGGCAGATAAATGTTGTGTGTGATCGTGTTCCAGAGAGAGAAAGAAAAAAGGCAGGAAGGGGAGGCATCTTTGGTTAAATGTGAATGAGAAGCAGATTTTTTTTGTCCCCTGAAATTTATATATAGGCCAAAAGTGAGAGGAAAACTAAACTGGAGTGAGCTGCTACTGATGGTTTTGTCTGGTTGTGTTCTTGACATGCTGATCAGATATGTTAGGACCCCTGCTGGGTCAGGCTTACCCTGCGGCCCACTTCGGTATGTCCGTCTCTCTCTTTCTCTCATTTTCTCCCTATTCTCTCTTCCTTTTCTGGGGCTTGGCCTTGACTGTAAACTAGTTGGCTTTATAAACTACGCTGACCGCTATTCTGTGGTCATCCTGACCTTTTGACCCCATTAAAGAAAGGTCTGCTTATGTTGTCTTTAATCCAAGGTTGATGAACCCCAGATAAAGTATCAATATCCCATGTTCACATCAGCTGTCATTGAAAATGAAAATTGAACAAATGCACATGTTCAATAGCCACTTAAAAGTGTGTTTATTTCATGAGATATAAAATATCAAGCCAAGTGGCATCTGCAAATAAATGAAATGCAAGAGCTTTTCTCAGCCACTTGTTTTGATGTTTTGTTATGTAATGCTACCGTTCAAATGTTTTGGGGTATGATTTGAATGTTTTGGAAGAAGTCTATTATGCTCACCAAGGGTATTTGATCAGAAATACAATAAAAGCAGAGCTGTTGTAAAATATGATTACAATTTAAATTTACAGTTTTTAAAATGTAATTTATTCCTGTGATGGCAAAGCTGAATTTTCAGCATCGTTACTCCAGTCTTCAGTGTCACATGATTTGGTTCCTCTTATGATTCATGCTGAAAACAGTTCTGCTTAATAGTCATATTAGATACATTTCCTTTTTCCAAAACAAATCTGACCCCAAACATTTGAACAGGTTGTACAGGTGTGTGTGTGTGTG